GGTGCAAATCTACAAGAAGAAGAGCACGGCCAACCAGAGCTCCGAGGTGTCGACGATGGAGCTGCTGATCCAGTGTCAGATTTGCAAGAGCAAGCTCAAGAACACGGTCATCAAGACGTGCGGGCACATGTTCTGCGACCAGTGCGTGCAAGACCGGCTCACGAACCGAGCGCGCAAGTGCCCCAATTGTGGCAAGGCGTTTGGCAGCAACGACACGATGCGCGTGCATTTGTAATATCTACTACGGCTTCTGCGTGGCGTCCCTTTTTCCATGTACCCGGTGTGTCCTGTATATTAGCTCCATTTCTTTGAGTACCCTTTTTTTTCCTTTACCATTTTACAAGAGCGTGGAGGGCAAGTTTTGAGGCCAAGCACCAGGGGGTGCCTTGGATACGTTGGCGTTTTACGGGTGGCCATGGGCCGCATTCCATACATAGCGTTGGTGTTTTGGCAGCGCGGGAGCATGTACGATCAGAGTTGTGTGCATGTTCAGACGACATGAGTTCGCATGTTTTACTAGATGGGCTGAGGGTACTTTCTCGGTCTCAGCAATGTTTCAATGGGCGTGGGCTAGATAAACATGATAGGTTGTATGCAAGTTGGGGGAATGATGGGAGGAAGAGAATGCCAAAGCAATTAGTATGGACTGTCTGTGCAAAACAAAGCCGAGTGGATCATCGGTGACTCACTCAACCCTGACAGGGCCTGCGGGTGGAGAGACAGGCAGTGACAGCCAACCAGGTGAGGCGTCATGACCCAAACCGGGCAGTGAGCCCAGGGTGGAAGGAGGCAACCACGCCCGGGTAATGACGTGAAGGACGCGTTCCCTGCCGTTGCCCCACGCGACATGCCCAAGATAAACACGTGCAAAGTCGACTACTATTACCACCACAACCCGACGCAGCCAGAAGCATAAAGGAATAGCCTTGCCTTGACTTTACATCTACTGCACTCCGCTTTTCACACCACCACAGACCAAATAAAAAGCAAAAAGCAACGTTACACAAGCAAAGCAAAAAATAAACCAACATACATCTTGCATCATCATCATCACCACCACCACCACCACTAAGCCCATCTTACCTCAATGGCTTCCAACGTCCTCGCAGCGCGCGACACAAACACAAAGGTCAAGGCCATGGAGTCGCCAGAGAAAACCAAGATTAAGAGTCTTGAGTATCATCGTCAGGTTCTACACTCACGTCTCGATGACAAGCAGTACGTTGGGCCAGGCATGCACCTAACCCGATAGCGTCATACTAACGTCAAGATAGGGAGTCAAAGTATGTCTCGCCATCCGACGACATTATGAGCCCAGCCACGCAGAAGTTGCAGGCCTTCAAGACCAAACACGCCATGAAGAAGTATGTCATGTCATCCCCTTTGATGCACGTAAAGCTACCTGAACACGTGAGTTAACCAAGCTACAGGTCAAAGCCACAGACGCTGTTCAAGAAGGCGAGCTCTAAGAGTCTCGAGGCCAGCAAAGGCAGCGGCTCGCTCATGTTTGCCGATATCCCAAAGGCCGATGCAGGCAAGCAAGATGCAGAAGCCTAGGGCTGGCATTGCTATTCTCTCTCAGGCGCTTAGGTTGCGGGTTTCTGAAGGCGGCTTCACGTGTGGTATACCCTTTTCTTTCATGACCATGGTGCTGGGTTGTTTGGGCTGGTTCGGGCTAGGCTGGGTCTCATGGTACAATGGGCCTCATTGGAGTTTTGGGCACCCTGGCAGGGTAGTATCATGAACATTACGACTTTGCAGCTGTAGATGCTGCGACATAAATGAACATTTTTCGAGCCTAGTCTACTTTGTGCTCATGTAAAGCGTATGCATGCACCAGAATGGATCCCTGGCTGTGTTCGGTAATGTCGCCAAGCCACGCGTTGTAGCCTTTCGCTAGCCGCATCCTCTTCCGACCTCCAAGATGAAACCACCACCCCAAGCCCAGCAAGCCCTGCTGGACGAGGTAGCAGACCTCGAAAGACGACTTCAAGATGCAAAGGCCCGGCTGAACCCAGATGTCGTGGTTCCGACTCCCCCTTTCTCGCCGCTTCCCAATGCTGCTTCAACCCCGCCTGTACCCTCCTTCTCCCCCGCCGAACAAGACGCTGCCCTGCATGCCTTACTCTTGCTCGCCGACTCGGCCCTACCACTGGGGTCTTTTGCTTTTAGCAGCGGCTTAGAGTCGTACCTCGCGCACCACAAGCCAGCGACGCCCTCGACATCACAGCTGCCGGCCTTTAACACGTTCCTCCGTCTCTCGCTATCAACGCTCGCCAGCACGTCGCTCCCATACGTATTTGCCGGGTACCGCGATCCACAAGAGATTGAAACTCTGGATAATGATTTCGATGCGAGCACACCGTGTACTGTGGCTCGACGGGCTAGCATAGCACAGGGCCGGGCGCTGCTTGCGGTTTGGGATCGAAGCTTCCGAGCGCAGTACAACAGTCCCGAGCGACACACGCGTAATTCCAGCTTGAATGGCGTAGCAGGCAAGAGTACAGCAGTTGAGGCGCTTGCATCCTTTTCTGCCGCCCTCCGCACGTCGGAGCATATAAACGCTCACCTTGCCCCGCTATGGGGCCTCATCACCAGCATCCTGCATGTTCCGCTACAGCAAGCTGCCTATCTGTTTCTGTTTTCCCATGCGAGAACAGTGGTCAGTGCTGCTGTCAGAGCTAGCGTAATGGGCCCTTATCAGGCCCAAGCAGTGCTGGCGAGTGCAGAGCTGCAAGAGAGGATTCGCGGGCTTGTTGACGAAGGCTGGAATAGGACGGTCGAGGATGCAGGACAGAGTGTGCCAGTCATGGACCTCTGGGTTGGTAGACATGAGAAACTATATTCGAGAATCTTTAATTCATGATGAACAGACGATTCGTTATCGTAGACAAACGAGCAACTTGTGCCGACATGGGAGCACATGCATATTCGAGCGATTTCTCATTTTGTGGCGGAAATGGGCGCCATGTAACTGCAGCCACAACAGATGAATTCAGTGTTATCTGAACACGGACTTTTGGTGAGTGTCTGGTCGTGGATGGTTTCAGCCAGTAGCCGTGCCACAACGACCTCGTGCTTGGTCGATTCGCGCAGGCAGCCATTTTGCTTATATCGCGTGACCGCTCGCTGAACCACACGCGTAATGCAGCATCCGACATGGTCAGGCATCAGCACTGCTTCTTTTCTACAGGATATTTTGTCAAACTATGGATGCCTGGGAGTGCTATGAGCATTGCGACTGCGCCATCTCAGACCCATCACCATGCTATCCTCAAGTATAACCAAATGGATCTCAACTATCCTCACTCTGACCAGTCCATCTAACAATGTGAATCAAGCTTCTCTTCTTCTCACCATCAAGTTCCCATGGATCCAAAGTTTTGCTTCAATAGGCGACTCGTACTCAGCTGGTCTGGGTTCAGGGCATCGCCTTGACTGGCTCTGCTCACGCTACACACACTCTTACCCCAACATACTGCACACGTCTCTCCTAGGTACGAATCCAAACCGAAATCATACATTCCTTGCCTGTTCCGGCGCCACCAGCACTGAAATCCTCGCCACACAGGTGCCAGCACTGCCCCCGAACCTCGATCTGCTCACCATATCAGCGGGCGGCAACGATGTCGGGCTTACTGGTATCCTAAGTGCATGCATCTACCAATTCTACATGGCCGCCGAGGACGCTTGTGCAGAAGCTATTGACCAAGCACGCGCTCGCATCGCCAACGAGACAGAACTATACCACAACACGAGCCTTTTGATCGATGCAGCACAGCAAAAGATGAAGCCCCACCACGGCATCATATACTATACAGGGTATGCGACCTTCTTCGGTGCAGACGACGAAGCATGCGACAACGTGACGTGGGCCATATGGAAGGACGTCGAGTGGAAGAAGCAATACCTTACCCGAGACCTCCGCGGCAAACTCAACGACATGGTCCGCAGCGTCAATAGCATTCTAGCACAAGCAGTCTCAGACGCCGGACCGGGCATCCACTTCATCGACTACGATGCAGAGATTCGCCAGTTACGGGGCCGGTACTGCGAAAGCGGTGTTGTTGAGCCCGCGCCGAACCGGGCTGGACTGGCGTTCTACGAATGGGCAACGGTGGATCAGGGCGAGAATAGCACGGCGTTGTTGAATCAGACGGGGGATGGGGTGCCGAGATTTTCGTTCCAGGGTGGGATTGCGAGGGAGGTGGAGAAGACGTTGGAGAGGCATCCGGATTGGGAGATTGAGCATGGCAAGGGGTTTGTGGATAAGGAAAAGGATAGGGAAAAGGAGGGTGGCGATGTTGGTGGAGAAGGGTGGTTGGGTGATGAGGTTCACTGGTTGCTGCCGGATAGCTATAAGAGGGTTTTTCATCTGAGACCCATGGGTCATGAGGTTATTGCACGGATGGTGGTGGATGATTTGGAGAAGCGGAGTGTAGGGCAGGGGGCAGAAATTGAGGAACTATGATTTATGTATGTACTTTATGAGAGAGGTGGCTCAGATAGTTGCTATCTATGAGATTGTTATTATAGTTGCTGCAGTGCGTACCCAAAAGAAACTTCATATGGGAATCTTGGTGTGCATGGTTGAAGCTGTTTGGTCCCGAGCTTGGAAGGAAGGAACCACCGCCTTCCCCTCAAGCCCCTTTCACCATCCAAAAATTCATACCAACTTTCCAAGATCAACGGCATCAAGACATCACCACATATACCTCTCGCGCATTGGGTGATGCGCTCAAGAAGAGAAGAACAACATGCATGGATCAGGGAAGAGACATAGACAAACAGCTGAGACCAATTGTTGTCGCATTGTCAGCCACATGCTTGGGTGCTAACATACAAATATAGATTTATGAATTGCGCATACATGCAGTAAAAGCCCGTGCAGGTGGGTGGGCATGGTATCCTTTCCAACCCTTACTTTTTGGAGAAAACAACAGGAGGTTTGTAAACGCCAGGAAAATGCCATCCATCAACGCCAAGGAGAAAATCATCAATCATGATCGTCGTTTGCCAATGCGACCGGGCCCGGCTGTCTGGCCCTTGAAGGGCTTGAGGGCGCCTTTGCCTCGCGAGGTGGGGAAGGAGACCTTGTTGGAGGGCTTGCGACGAAGCTGTTTGCGGGTCTGGCTCTTGTCCTTGGACTTGTTGAAGGAGCTCTTTGTGGAGGTGGAGGTGGTGGCAGCGGGGGCACCGTCGACGTCCATGTCTACATCAGGATGGAGTTAGCCCTTGATTCTTACCCGACCAATGTGGAGGGAGTGGGTCAAAGGCAAACTCGAGGTGGCCGTCTGTGGTGAAGCCAACGACATCGGAACACAAGCCCAGGTGGAAGCACAGATTCCTAAGGTCACAGTCGTCTTGTGCTGCGTCGAGGGGCTTTGGGGAGGGGTCGGACAGGGAGCGTGGTATGGGAGCAGTGAGAAAAGACGAACCTTTGGGCAAGTCGTCCTCGTTGGCGGCGGCGGTGGTGGTCTCGGCTGCGGTGTTGGCTGTGTGTATATTAGCAGGCTGGCATGCGCGAGAGGATGCGACCGGCTTACTGTCTTCAGCAGTGTCCATCTGGTTGCTTTCTGGCTTGGGCTGCTGGACTGTCTCGAGAAGTTTGGCATGCAGGCGTTCCATGCGCGCCTGCTCGACAGGGCCAAATACTCTGGCGCGCAGCTTTGTGCGGTTCGCCTTTTTGCTGCTTGCGCGGAGACCCTTTGCCATTTTTGGGTGTGTGTGTGTGTGTGTGGTTTGGGCGTTTGTATATGGAGGAGAGGATATGGGTGTGTATGTTGGAGAATGCAAGTATGTTGCTCGGCGGGCGGGTCGTTGGGTGGGGAAAATGCAAAAGCTGGGAATAATAATTTTAGTGGCGAGGCACCGCCAGGGCCAGGGCCAAACCCACGCCGGCCCGTGCTCGGGTCGCGTTCTTCGCTGAGTGACGCTGACTGCCTTGGGGCACACACGCTGGCAGCACTGGGACATGGGCCCGCCGCCAGACCCGCTGCCATCGTCGACGACGGCCACTTGACATATACAGAGAGGCGCCTGATTACTCCTCGTCTGCCTGCACTGTACTGTACGGCACGGCACGGCACAGCACGGCACTCGACTACACGGCACTGCATCGTCGCCGACCGAGTCTGGCAGTAGTAGAGAAGTTGCGACCAGCATCCGGCCGGCCAACAGCCTCGACGGCCCTTCACTTCACCACCGTCTTTCTCTCACCCTCGCCCCGTCCCCGGAACCGAGACCTACTCGCCCATATAGCACTCGATATGCCTTCGCCATACCCGTAGCATTTCACCCTCGCATCCCCAAACCCGCCTGGCCCTGTCCATCGCGACACCAAAACTCACCCGCTCGTCCTCGCACACCCAGCATGGAGGCGACGCTGCAGCACACGGCTGCCACCATCACGGAGCGCTCAAAGAGACTCATCAACAATGACCTCAAAAAGATCCTGAAAGAGGAGGGCAAGGCCCAGACGGGCAACAAGGCTGCCCTCCAAGCTCGCGTCATTGATTGTACGTACATGTTCTGGGCGCCGCCTCGATGCTGTCCACCCTTGGTCCCGCTAACATTCACTTTCACCAGTAATTACCGATGCCGTCTCTAGAAGAGACCATGAGCAATTGCGCCGCCTGCACCATCGCGTGCACCACCACGGTGAAGCGCCACCCCCAACAACAACCAGCCCAGTTGCTCCTTCGTACTCGCAGCCACCCCCACCCCTTGCAAACAGCTACGCCATGTCCAACGGATACCAGTCCAACGGCGCGCGCCAAGCGCACCAGCACCATCAGCCTGCACTGCCCTCTCGTACGTTGACCCCGGTTGCGCCCGCGTGCCCAGCTGCAGTAGTACTGATGACAACAGCAGGTCCCACGTACTTTTTCAAAGACAGCCCCTTCTTCGAGATACGCGAGCTCGTACTTACAGACATGTCGCTAGAAGGTATGTTTGCCCTCCTCGCCGCCATCTGCACTCCTAAGCTAATCATATGCTAGCTTCTCCAACTCACCGAGCCACGCTCTCAAAGAGCCTTACCCTGAATGAGGCTCAGACAGGGCGCTTAAACTCTGACCCGTCCCTGCGACTGTTGCTCTTCTCTGCGCTTGAGCAGCCACTGGCTCCTTACTCGCGTCTCGACATCGCATTTCCTTCTCAGATTGAAGTCAAGGTCAACGATGCAGAGGTCAAGGCAAACTACAAGGGCCTCAAAAACAAGCCAGGCTCGACGCGTCCGGCTGATATTACCGACTTTGTCCGCACAAAAGTCGCCAATCAGCGCAACAGCCTCCTTATTACTTATGCCCTGACCCAGAAGGCAAGTCAAACAGAGGTTTCTTTTCCACTTCAACTCCCCTGAAATGACACTCCAAGCTAACAGCCCTCTGCAGAAATATAACCTGTTCGTTTACTTGGTGCGGAAATTCTCAGTCGAAGAATTGACGCAGCGTATCAAGCGCCGCAATGTCATTACTAGGGGATCTGTGCTAGAGGAGAGTAAGGCGCCCCCCTTGCGCGTCCGGAACCAAGCTCAGCTAACGCGTCACCAGTGATGAAGAAGGCCAATGACCCAGATATCGAAGTGGGATCGAGCGTCATGTCACTCAAAGATCCAATCTCCACTCTGCGAATCGTCACTCCCTGCAGATCTACAGTCTGCACACACAATCAATGCTTTGACGCCGACTCTTTTCTACAGCTGCAGGAGCAAGCGCCCACATGGACCTGCCCGATATGCAACAAGACAATATCCTTCGAGGCACTTGCTGTTGATGAATACGTTCAGGACATTTTGAGCAAAGCCCGCAACACGGACCAGGTCACTATCCAGCCAAACGGCGAGTGGTCGACCGAAAAGGACCTTAAACCCAAACATAACAACCATGACGACGATAGTGACGACGACCTCGTTGAGATCACTGACTACCGCGTCCAGGCTATCAAAAGTGAAGCCGCACCAACCCCTACCTCGCTCAGTACGCCTCCGTTGCCCTCTCGAGAGCCATCCACTGCCCCTCGCTCTACCCAAAAGAGGACCTCTGAGGTTGTCGACCTGACATTGAGCGATGATGAAGAGCCAGCAAGGCCAACTAAAAAGGTAGCGTATACTACTACCCCCAATAGCATTCCAGATGCATCACGTCGGTACCAGTTGCCTCCTTTGGCAACTACAAGGCGCCCGCCACCACCGCCGGCCTACCACTCGAGTTCTGCCAATGTACGCCCGGAATATTCCCGCCCTCCTTCTACACCCCCATCGCGCCACGCTTATCATTCCTATCGACCCGCGCAGCCCGCACGGCCTAGCTATCCTGGACAGGGTACCTCCACCTACCCCACGCACATTGGCTCTTCCTCACCTTGAAACATGTGCCGCGCTTAATAATTGTCTATCACCATTGATGTATGAGTAGATATTTGTTCCCGTGCTAACGTAATTTTGCCCTCGCAGGGCAGAAAGTAGACGAAGTAGTGCGACACCTGTCCAAACCGCCTATTCCAACGCAGTCTCACTTGATTGTGGGCGCCCCGGGCGGGTGGACGGAGCGGAGTGCACCTCTTTCTTCATAATTTGACGTGGGGATTTAGCGCGAGGCGTTTGGAGGGCGACATCTCATGATCATTTATCTACTTACGGCGTACTGAGGGATTGGACAACATTGGGGATACCACCGCATGGAAGGATTGTACGTGTTTCAATGGCCATTGTAAGCAAGTTTTTGCGACGAGAAAACAGAATGAAAGTTGCGTCCCCAAAAAGAAGAAGGTTCGCCGAGTGGCGAACACAAGTCGGGATTACGTTGAACAGTGTAATAACAAAAATGCAGTAGATAACCCTTTCGGCCTAGGCTACAGCTAATCATTCGAGTTTGCTATGAAGTCCGGCCGTATTCAAGGCTGCCACGGTCCTTTTGCAAACCCACCACTGATGTTTTCCGCCTCTCCATTTTCCCTGACTACAAGGACATCCTCGTGACGCACGCCGAATTTGTTGAGAAGATAAACACCAGGTTCGGCAGTGAAGACCATGCCTGGGCGTAGTATGGCTAAGGAGTTGCCTTTGTTAAGGTATGGACTCTCGTGCGCCTTGATGCCGATGCCATGTCCCAGACGGTGGGTAAAGTAATCGCCGTAGCCCGCAACTTGGATAATGTCGCGTGCGGCAATATCCACCGAGGCGGCCGACGAGCCCGGTACCATTGCATTGGCAGCAGCTGCCTGTGCATCTAGCACGAGCTGCCAAACTTCTAGCTGCTCAGTTGTATTGTGTTCCGACGTCACTGGCGGCGCTGGTTCAAAGGGTGGGTAGAATGTGCGAGTCACATCCGAACTGTACCCATATAACTTTGCACCAACATCAATGAGGACAAACATGCCAGCATCCAACTTCCTGCTCCCGTCATACCCGCCATGTGGCAAGGCAGCGCTCTTTCCAAACTCCACAATGTCAAAGAACGGGTCGAGCCCAGCGGCTCGTAGCGTATCGTCCAACACATGTCTGACCTCATTCTCCGTCACACCGCGGTAGAGACACTGTCTCATGGCACGAATAGCTTCCACCGTCCCTGTATTAGCAGCCTTCAAAATGCCAATTTCACGCTCCGTCTTGACTTGTCGCACAGCTTCGACTTCGCCGGCCAAACCCGAGACAACAAAGCCATTCGACGCCAGCCCGCGTTGAATAAAGTCGCGTATTTCCTCGTCAACCATGAGTTTGGGCGATAGCTTCTCCCCCCAGATCTCTGACAGGTAAAGCGTGGTGTAGTAATCCCAATGTTCTTGATACGTAATCGTATGGATACCATGTTCAAAGGGCATGTTAAGCAGCCTCGCACGCGTCTCTTCAAAACTCGGCACCAAGAACGACGTGTTAGCCACGATGTTCCCATCTTCCAGCGTCTGGGGCCGGATGACCATTAAGAATGGACGTTCTTCGGGTTCCCAGGGCTCCCAGTCTTGCTGGGTCACGTTTACGTAGTAGCTGAATGTGTACCCTGGTTCTACCACGAATGCATCCACGCTTTCGGCAACAAGCGCTTTGGCGAGGTTGTTGCGTCGAAGCACATATTCTTCTAGTGGTGGTGGTTGTGCTGAGTCTAGGAAGTGCAGGCCAGTGGATAGATAGGTGTTGACTGAGCATTTGTGGAAAGTTGCAAACTGGGAGGTGGGGAATATGGGGTTATGGCCAAATGATGTGTGAAGATACTAGATGGGATATTTTGAGATGTTTGGTTTTTTTTGGAGAGGATGATGGGCTTGGAATCAAGAAAACGTACCATGATTGCGAAGAATGCGATGCCTATCAAGATGTATGAAAGCGAGGGACGGGTACTACGCCCGAGTGCTTTCCAACGAGTAAACGGCGTTCCGCCATCAGGAACAAGGAGGCCCTTCATTTTATTAAGCACATTAATGTGTAAATTTAAACAAAGTAGTTAATGTTGAAAAGGTAGGATGCGGGACATCAAGACTGAGATGCATAAATGCGCAAACCAGGAATAGCGCCAACGCGCAATCACGTGGAACGCCATACCCACTTTAGCATCACACAAGGTAGATCACAGGGCAAAGCAAACAGATAAAAGCAAGAGCCTAGACTCTCAGGTGTGATTGGCACCTATGCCACGAAAAGCACTCCATCTTCTGATCACCACATCATGTTGAGAGTGACCCTAGCTATCCGACACGAATCCCGCTCCTTGGTACATTGATTATCCGCATCATTCCTGTTATCTCGTCCACAAGAGGGAAGCACTCGAATGCCTTCAACGTACCAGTGCCTAGATGCACTCAAAATCATCTTCGAAATCGATCTCGACATCGATGTTATCGCTGAGATCCTCCGTCTTGAACTTGCCACTTCCAACTGGCTTGATCTTATTCACTCGACCGGTTTGGACCTTATCGGCTACTCACTACTTAGTAACGCGATAAATCTTAGGCTTTGTTACTTACTCTTCTTGGTCGGGCTGCTACTACCAGTCTTCTTGGTAGGGCTGCTGCTATTCTTGACACGCGGCTTCTTGGGAGTAGGGACAATGTTGTCTACAGCTGCAGCCTTGAGCTCTCTAGCCTGTTTCTTCCAGGCTCTGAGATGACATTCGAGGGCATCGAACGTCATACCTTTGCCATATAACCGCGCGACTTCTTTAATGTCGATCTTTAGTGAACGAATCAGTACAGTGACATATGGAGTCAGCGAAGAAGAAAAACATACCTTGTTGTCATTGGCAGCAAGGTATGCGACAAGGACACCTTCAATGACCTTGATGTCGTTCCAGTTGGTAGGCATGGTGGTGACGAAGACTGTGCGCTGTTAGTGAGAGTTGGAGGTAAACTTGTAACGAGATAGCGGCTATGCACATATAGAACGATCTAGAAATACCAAGGCAAGACAAATGCGTAGCCATAAGAAGCTGCCTTGAGCTCTGTGTAGGATGACTGCTCCTGCGTGACAACTGCAACGTGTAGAGCTGATAAGCTTCGCTGGTGGGGCAACTTACTTCAATGGGGATCGAAGGGTTCTTGAAGTGAATACGTGCAAGATGTCTTAGAGTGCAGTAAGAGTTGAGTTTTATGGTTGTGGTGTAGTTTGGTTAAAAGAAGGGCGTAGAAGATATGTAGGCGGCAGAAAGGCACGTGCAGGTAAGTGAAGGTGAATAGCAAAACATCAGTCTTGCCTTCCCACTTGCCCGCTTTCACGCTGCCAGCACGTGGTAGTAAAGGGATGATGTAGTAGGGAATCACTCACCACCTCTGCCTGTCTACTCAGTGGCGCAACATGTCTTAGTTGATATATGTTGGTTGGAATGATACGTTTCCACAAGCGACCAAATATGGAGAAGAGCACATGTAGCAATACACACGTCTGGGAAATAGCCAAGACGCCGAATAATATACATGAATTGGGTATAGATGCTTTTATAGTCAACGCCAAATGGGACTTTGGAAAGCCCACAGTCCCTGATCAATCACGAACTCTTTGCTCAAAAATGCTTTTTTTTGCAACATGGCTACCTCATCGCCTCGCCTTGTTTGCTTTGGAATCGTCCCATTCTCTTTTGCCCTTGCCTTGTGCTTTGAGTCTCTTTGCTTCCTCCCTTGGATCTATGACTAGTAGCTCTTCTTCGTTCTTCCGCTTCCATTCAAGGTCTTTGCCTAGTCTGTCTTTTGCGAAACTGAGCGAATGGGACATCCAGCCTGCATCGTCGTCCGAACCCTCGTCTTCCTGGGCGTCCCAGGCTTTACACGACTGACAGCCTACTATGAAATGCAGGTCACATGCGGCCTCATCGTCTTGGTCACCACTGTTGCCATGTCCGTTCCCATTCTCGTCTGGTGTGCTTTCGGACAGTGTTGAAGCGGCTGATTTGGATATTGTGGCTGGTTCTGCAGCCTCGAGTTTAGATTTGAAGCGCGCCAAGATGTCTAACGAGGATTGCTCGTCTTTTGAGTTTCCGCCAGCACCACGCTTGCGTCCGCGGGTGGTTGTCGAGGGTACCATGGCTTCGAGCAGAGACTTTTTCTTGGCAGGCGCCGCATCCTGAGTCTGCGTGCTCCGCTTCATCGAGGCTTTGAGTTCAGCAATCTGTTGGTTCACACGATCAAGCTTTGCTCGTTTCTCAGCCTCTGGCGATAATTCTCGTGGGGGCGAGTAGGGTTTAGGCGCAGGCGGTGACTTGGGGACTTGTTTCTGTGGAGACTTGGGCTCGGGAGGTGGCGAGGGAGAGTTGCGAGGTGATTTACGAGGCGAGTTGCGAGATGAGTTGCGTATGGGCATGGCTTTTGCTGGTTCTGTTGGTTTGGAGGAAGGTGCTTTCTCATCGCCTGCACTGACTAGCTTGGTGTTGAACTTGGGCTTCTTCGCAACGGGCGCAGAGCCAGCAGCGTCCTCGTTATCTCCAAAGCTTAGGACATTCTTGCCGGCTTTCCTCTTGGGCTTCTTGGGCTTCTTAGTCTCTGCCTCCGTGGGCGCAGCAGCCTGCACCCGACGGACCATGTCTTCAAAGGGGTTCACAATAATGTCTGCACCTGTGACTTTTGTTGGGTACATGGGCTGGTCGTCGCTTCCGTCGCGGATCTCAGCCTCGGCCATCTTCATGAGGTTGTAGATGGTGTCGCCGGCCACGCGGCCAAACAGCGTGTTCTTGTCCTGCAGCTCGGGTGTTGGGGCAAGGGTGAAGAAGAACTGGCTGCCATTGTCGTCCTTGGTGCCTGTGTTGGCCATGCCCAGCAGCCCGCGGCGCGTGTACTTGAGGCGGCTGTGGAACTCGTCGGCAAAAGGCTCGCCATCGTAGCTGCTCTGGCCGCCCTGGCCGGTACCCGTGGGGTCGCCGCCCTGGATGATGAAGCCCTTGACCAGGCGGTGGAAGACGGTGTTGTCGTAGTAGCCATCGAGACACAGCTGCAGGAAGTTGCGCGACGTGACGGGCGTCTGCTTGGCGAACAGCTCCAGCTCCAGGTCGCCGGCGGTGGTGTGCAGCACCACCTTGGCCGTGGGATTGGGCTCGAGGTTGTATGTCGAGCTCATGGCGGCCGTCTACCTCGCAAAGCCTGTTGCGTGCTCGTCGATGGCGCAGTGTCGTGATGTGGTAATGTCGCGTGGGTTGTGGGTTGTCCGCGCTGCAAAGCCTCCAGCCACTCAGCGTCGAGCGCTTCGGCACGACCCACGGGCCCACGACCACTACGCCAACGTCATTCTGCGCATCCCTTGGCCATGTGCACATGTCGTTCGTACCTTGCTCGACTCCAACCCACCCACTTGTCCCTACCACGATCCAGATGGCATCTTACTTATAGCACCCCTCTTCTCGTCCATGATCCCATCTGCCTCTGCCCTGGGTAGCACCTCTTCCTTTCCGCCCTCCCACTCGGCACCATGTTGCCCTACATTAATGCTCGTACGTGTTGACGAAGCCCAAATGCCGACACATGCACTAACCAACCATGAAGCGTTCGAGTATGCCGGCAGCATACTCGGAAACTCGGCAGACGAGCGTGAGGAGCCTCAGCATTCTATCTACTTGGCCCGTAATTGACTCTGGCTAGTAAAACTCGTTTTTTCTTTCTACCTGTCATATCCACTTGCGGCTGTACTCAAGAGGATACCTGACAAAGACCCATGGAAGAAGAACCTGTTCGTCATCAGGTGCGTGTGCTATCTCCATGTGTAACATAGTACCGTGTTCATAGATCCAGTGTGTCCATGTTCTACCTGGTGGGTCTTTTTGACCTGTGGGCTGGCCTTCGAACAATCTTCATCAGTGCGGGCGGCGCCTACCTAATCGCGTCCCGGATCCATTCCCCATACATGCCCTGGATTGGCTTCGTCTTCCTCATGGGCCACATGTCTGTCAACCACATCTACCGCCAGGCTGTCAACGATCCCTCCGTCTTTGACATAACCGGTGCCCAGATGGTCATGGTGATGAAGCTTACCGCCTTTTGCTGGAATGTGCAAGACGGCCGTCTCGCTGAGTCTGACCTCACCGATTTCCAACGCGAACACGCCATCCGCACCATGCCCAGTCTCCTCGACTACACGGGCTACGTCTTCTTCTTCCCAGGTCTCATGGCTGGCCCTGCATTCGACTATGCCGACTACAGCCAGTACATCACTACCACCATGTTCACCCTCCCGCCAGGCACAGATCCCTCCCGGGCCCCGCCAACGCGAAAGAAGCGCAAGATTCCTCGGAGCGGAGGGCCGGCTGCCATCAAAGCTGCCTACGGCACGCTCTGGCTAGTTGCCTTTATCAAGTTCTCAAGCTGGTACTACCCCGCCTTCTTCCTTGGTGGCGAGTGGATGCACTATACCTTCCTGCGTAGGGTGTGGCAGCTGTACATGCTCGGACTTACTACCCGTATGAAGTACTTTGCAGTGTGGAGCTTATCAGAAGGAGCATGCATTCTGTCTGGCATCGGCTACAATGGCCTAGACCCCAAGACACATCGACCAAAATGGGACCGCCTCACCAACATTATGCCGCTGGAGATTGAGGGCGCTCAAAATGCACGAGCTTACCTTGGCTACTGGAACATTAATACGAATTCGTGGCTGAAGAATTACATGTACTTGCGCGTAACTCCAAAAGGCCAGAAGCCCGGCTTTCGGGCTACCTTGGCAACCTTTGTTACGAGCGCCTTCTGGCATGGTTTTTACCCTGGCTACTACCTGGCCTTTGTGCTAGCGGCATTTGTACAGACTGCTGCAAAGAGTCAGTCACCCCATAAGACTTTAATTGAGGTGGATACTAACCGTGTATAGACGGCCGCCGCTTGGTTCGCCCACTATTCCTGACTCCTGATGGCAAATTGCCCCTACCTTCGAAGCGGTACTATGATGTCTTTACCATGGTGTTGACACAAACCGTCTTTGCTTTTGTCGTCGCCCCCTTCATCTTGCTAGGCTTCTCGGACACGATCAAAGTTTGGGCACGTGTCTACTTTTACGCTCTCATCGGTGTCGCAGGGTCCTATGCCCTGTTCTCGCGTTCTTTCCCGTTTCGAAAGATGCTGGTGCAGCGTCAAGCTGCCCGTGTACCACCAGCACAGCCAGCCAGTCAAATTGATGACCCCATGATTGAGAAGGCCGCACGGGAAGAGATTCGGAAAGAAAGGCTTGCTAGAACCGCGTCAGCAGACAGTATATCCGGTGTTGGCGGTCAACACCAGATGCCACTTTTGGGTATCGCCGATGACCCAGAAAAAGTAGTTGATGAGATTGTGGCCGAGGTGAAAGCAGAGATAGAACTGAGAAGACGGAGGGGCAGTATAACACAGGGGTTTGATGTCAAGAAAGCAGTGCAGGAAAAGCTCAGCCAGTTCACGAAGAAGTCGTAGGGCTGGGTGCTGCTGGGGAGGCCGCATATGTTTTTATTGAAGAGAAGAGCGACTGTCATTGATGGGTCGGCCAAGGGGTCCATGATGGTAGTGTGAATGCATTTAATTTTATGTGTGTAGGATACATGTGTATGCGTGGTGTGTGCAAGCGGCTGGCCAGGCGTCGGAGGGTATTGTGTGTGTGTGTGTGGTTGGTGTCGGAATACCAAGCTTTCCGGGATCAGCCCAGACCCCTGGCCAGATCGCCGCGCATCCACATGGTTGATACACGATACGCTCCCAACGTTCCCGTCACCGTCGGACGCATCCACCATCATCCACCCATCCCGCCCACACACCGCTTCCGCCGCCACTATATAGGTAGTCTGTCGCGTGGCCAGTGTGACGGCGACGCCATGGCATGCCTAGAGCTGGCCGCCGCCTTCTGCAAGCCCGGGTTTCGCACACTCTAATAAACGAACCGCCGTTTGATATTAGCTGAAAAGCTTGATCCAGCCCGGCAGCCAGAGTAATAATACAAGCAGAGCCCAATCGATCCACATGTTTGCCACAATACGGGTTCATGTAAAAATTATCCGGCTGCTGTGATTGGCCTTGCAGGCCTAGGCCAACTGGTCAGGTCAATGGAACGGACCCGCATGGCGTAAATGCTCGAATCTGGGGTTTCCCAGTCCTTAGTGACTTACGTAGGCGGCCCGCAACAAGCAATCTCCTAGTACGCTGGTCATCTCCGGCCGCCCAATGCTTCGAAAGCGCCTTCTTGCTCCACCATGCTGCATGCTGGCCCCCATTACTCTTGGTTTCTGGAGCCCGTATACATGGCCCAACAGTAAATATGCTTCTATGTACATAGACGGGCCTCTTTGCCGGAGGTGGGTTCCTCGTACCCAGCCGCTTGCAACATTCCTTAGGGCACGGAGCTCGACTAGAATGCTCCTAGTGCGCCAATGCTAAACACGCCGTGCCGCACTCTAGACGCCTTACCAAGGATCCCATCACTTCCATAATCTCTTTTCTCTTCCGTGCCTCGGGCAAAATCAACATGATGGCCTTCCCCATCCGACTATCAAGAAGGGCCGCCAGCGCAATCTTCGGGAAGATCATGCCTGCCCAGTTCCCATCTTCTTTTCTTGTTTTTTTTCCTTTCCGAGCCTCTGCTTACGCCCAGCCCATAATCCATGCTCACCAGCCTTTTGCGGATTCATGCGTACTTGTTCCAGTTAATCGTCATTGCTGGCTTTCCGGCTTAACCTAGTTTGCAATGGAGATCCCAAATCATGGCCCTCTGATTCTCGGAATATCGTGGGCATTCGCCATCTTCAGTGGTATTTTCTTAGGCTTCAGATTCTACGCCAAGGTGACTCGCCGACAAGGTTTGTGGTGGGATGACCATGTTCTTCTCGCCTCGTGGGTAAGTCAAATTTCTGCTATGAAATATCGCTGGTGTATTTTGCTAACCCAGATGAGTAGGTTCTGCTACTTTCACAGGCAATCACCACCCAATTTGGCGTCGAGTTGGGTTATGGAAAGCCGTTAAATGATATTCCAACCAAAAATTGGTCAATTATTGCCCTGGGATCTGCCGTCATATCAATGGTATCGAGCATTGCCGCAGCGCTTTCCAAAATGTCATTTGGTATTACTTTACTGCGCCTAACTTCAGGTTATCTGCGCTCCACCGCATGGTTCTGCATCATTACCCTTTTGGTCACCCTGATCCCCAGTGTTGTGGGCCCCTGGATACAGTGTCCACATATGGAGGCAACATGGAACACGTCTAGTGACGTCTGTTGGAGTGCAGAATCGCAAATCCAATACGGCATCTTCAATGCTGCCTGGTCAGCTTCGATGGATTTTGTTCTTGCGTCATTGCCATGGTTCCTCATATGGAACCTACAACTCAAGTCTCGCGAGAAGATTGGAGTCGGTATTGCAATGAGCCTGGGAATGCTGTGAGTACTTATCCAGCTTTGTAATCGTCATCAGACTGTTGGCAATCGTCATGCTAATACAGCCATTAGTGCAGGTATCTGTGCCATTATAAAAGGTGTATATGTGGTACAGCTTCGAGAATGGGATTTTTCCTATTATGGTAAAGATCTTGTCATCTGGACCGTTGTGGAGATTGGCACGGCCATCGTCGGGGGATCGATTCCCGTCCTTCGCGTTTTCTTGAAGGAGACAATGTCTTCGTACGGGCGATCGGGCGCAAGGAACAATGCCACTGTCCCGCTGTCGCGATTGCACAAATACCAGCATTCAACCGTCACCACGACCGTACGAGGTGTGAAGAGGGGTAAAGAGGGAATCTGGACTGCGATAGAAGAGGAAGAACAAAACGATGGCTCGAGTCAAAGGGGCATCCTGATTAACGAAGAAGTGGGTGGAGCGAGTAGTAGTAAAGCAATGTATGCAGGCGACCATATCTTGCAAACGAGCACAGTTACTGTTAGAGTTGAGAGCGATGCTAGCTTGTCTCCCAGAAGTAGGTCTTTTCTAAATACTGATTAGCATTTTCCCTGTACTGCACCAGAGGTCCATGTCCTCTCCGAGTCCGGACATTCCAGTAAGTATGTATGAGCTATGAATACAAGAAACTTCCCAAGGCTAGATATTTCTCCGCACTAGAGGCCTAAGGCTCTTTGTGTTATTCCCCTTCCTATTAAATATGTATAAGTCGTCACATGTTGTTTAATATTAGACGCCACACGTGTCAGGACCGATTGCGGCCTGTATCATTTATTCAGCGCCGACGCAGCTCCGAGTGCTGTCTTGTTGGACATGGGGGTCAGAAGGTACCTTTGCCCGTATTGGATCGCCCGTATAGCGTTAATAAGACTCAGCCTGCGGACAAAATCGTACCAAAGCACCTAGCTTCTGGAAAAGGCCCATGGACCAATTGCTTTTGGTGATGACCAAACATGACAAAGCGGCACAGATAGTCTGAGAAGGGCTTGTGTGCAGTGAGATTTGCCGCACGGATCCGTTGCGAGCGCAAGTGATGCTTTGGACAGCAGCAAGGACTAGCAGCAAGCATAAGAGCGACAATAGTGCCGTTTCCGTGCTGTGCCCGTCTTGGAAGAGCCGAAAGCAGTTGCCTTGGTTGCCGCATGATCTGCACATGCGCCACGCTTGTGGGAGTTACAGCATTGGACGGGTCGGCAAAGTCAAACGGTGACAGCTTTTTTCAAGTGCCGGCTCACCTCAACCCCACAAACTTCCCCATACTCTTGTGAATCTCGTCATTGCCCTCATAACGGGCCACCCTCCCCCGCCTTACAGCAAGGTTTCCCCGCAGATTATTGCGTATGTCGTCGTCCTTGGCCTTGACCACGCTGGCTGCATGGCTCATAGCGCAAGATGATTCCGGTACTATTGTTAGCGAACTACTACACAGTAGGTGTAAGCCTCTCTAACGCTTATCTCTTTTGCTCTGGCCCTGTATGCAGCGCAGCAGGGATTGCTCAACTGATTCTCCGACTCCTGGTGCGGCTCTGCTGCCATTCGCCCGACACAGCCTGCCGCGCAGAGGGCTCGCTTCCACTTACTTAGAAGGAAAAAGGAACGGCACACGTGACGTTGCGACGTGAATACCTCGGATCAGGAAACATGCCTTGCCGATTGGCGGCTTCAGCCACAATCCTCCCGCACTTATCAGTGCATTCTAGTACGCATGATCAACCAGCGTAGTCCTGCGAATAGCCTAGTCTCGCTATATCCATGCACTCAAACAGAACGCAAATCTCTTTGTATGCGCATTGAGGCTAAACTGTACCCCCACGAGACGCACAGACTGAAAGCTGGTGTTAGCAAATCTTGCCGTGCAATGTACATCGCTTGGAACCAAGGTTAATGAGTCAGGACTTTGATGGACTAATAACACTGATTCTGATGCAGCTTAAACATTGCTTGAAAACCCAAAACTACTTCGCTGGTGTCGATTTCAACCATGAAGCATCGACGCCGACGGCATTTCTCCAACGCTTGCCATTGGCCGAATTCATTTTGCGTTCAGGATTCCATCGATGACTGCCGCAAATTTAAGACACTCCTCATCACGCATCCTGTTAGTAAAGACTTGTATCGATGTTGGTAAGTTGTCCATGCGTTCGGGCTCGTCTGTAAGCGGCACTTCTTAGCTTGTATTGCATACGACAAATGTGTCATCATAAAAAAAAAAGGACAGACTTACAATTCGCACCGCACTGACCAGGGCCCATGACAAGAGGCTCAGGATCAAGTTTGCTAGATGATTTGCCGAATGGTATGACGCATGCAGGGTACTGTCTCGATTGTCAGCACATGTCTTCTTCGTTGCCAAACAAGAGAGCAGGGCTTTTCGAGCACTTACGTCAAGCACGTTCAAAAACAATGTGTAAGGCGGCAGGCCATACGTGTCATGCGGAACTGCAGTATGTTGCGCCGACGGCCCGATAACGACATCTAGCTTTTGCTCCTTCCACAGGGACCTCCACTCATCCAAGATGATGTTCCTCTTTACGTTGAGCGCAGCCACTCTCTTGACGCCTTCAAGGTGGGCCATGTCATCAAGGAAACTGTTCTTGAAAGCGTGGAACGCTTCCATACTTTGCTTCACAGATGGTACCACGGGTTCGCCACTCGCGGCAACATGTTGTGGGGGTGTGTCGTCGAGAAAGAAGTAAGCAAAGGCGACAGCCAATGCGTCGGCTACATGCGCGCTAGGTGCACTAATCTTGTGAATATAGTGGCCCTGTGCCTCCAATAGCTTCACAGCCTCCGCCAAAGCTCTCTTGACTGGTGGGTGCAACGGGAAGGATGGGTCTTCGGAGACAACGCCGATGCGTAGCTTCTCTGGGTGTGGAGATCCAGAGAGATCCATCCAAGGCACGTCGAGAGCAGTCGAGTCGTACAACGCTGGTCGAGCCGACATGACTGAGTTGCAGAGAGTGTCAAGTGCGTGGACATCGTTGGCTAGAGGTCCCGCACAAGGCTTGAAGAAATCCATGCCTGCCAGGGCTGGGGAAGCTTGTCCGCCATCAGGTATCCGGCAAGTCGTTGGCTTGAAACCATACGTTCCGCAGCATAGAGATGGTATGCGAATCGAGCCTAAATGGCATGGTAAGTGCGGGAACTAGGTACAAATGCTAAAATGTTCTAGTAACGAACCTGCAATGTCTGTACCAATGCCCAAAGGAGATCCCCGGAAGCCCATCAGGGCACCTTCGCCGCCACTGGACCCGCCAGCAGTAACACTGGTGTTTACTGGATTCAGTGTGCGCCCAAATATGTTGTTATGAGAGTCTGCAGTCTGCTGAATGTTAGCATGAAGTTTCCACAAGTTCACTGATGAATCAATCTTACCATGAGAGTCTGTGGGATGTTCGTTTTCACATAAATGACTGCTCCAAGTTCAAGCAAAATGTCAACAAGAGGCGAGTTCTTCTCAGACAGGGGACGACTCAAGAAAGACACAAACCCAATGCTGGCATCTGAACCAGCAACATGGAACCCGTCTTTGACACTAACTGGCAAGCCGTGGAGCGGCCCTACTATCCGTCCTTGTGCTCTCTCGTTATCGAGAAACTTGGCACGGGCTTGTGCCTCAGGGAAATAGGTTTCAGTGAGGCATGATAACTAGAAAAAAGATCATCTATCAGATATATGGCCTCAACACACAGGAGCAATGACAGCTTACAAGTTGCTGTGCTATGGCTGCTCTCTTGGAAAAGGCAAGTGTTACGTCGAGCGCAGAAAGTTCACCGCTCTTCAATTTGGATAGCAGTTGTGCTACAGTATACTTCTCGGTAATATCCAATTCCTTCTCAGTCAATATGCCCGACTTGCGTGGAATGTCCATGTCATTTATGCGGTTCGGATGATCTTCAAGCGGCGTCTGAAGCGTTTGCAAGATAGCCGAGGGGAGCAGCCATTCCTTTGGCAGCTTATCACGGCATGATTGTTGTTTCGCGGCGACTGCCGACTCCCAAGAGGTAGTAGTGGATGTGGCCATGTTTTTGGAATCAAATAGGAAATATGTATGGGTATCAAAAGACGGCAGGGGGATTCTACCAAATATATATGGTGGCGGAGACTATTCTAAATGCCGCACAAGGCATCCGAAGCTAACACGAGGCAAGGATTCACTCACCAAGACAAGACACATTTGACGCGCAGAGACTGAAGCGGTCGCAAGGTGTATCCCCAGCTGGTGTCCCGCCGGCACATAGTTAGCCTGGCGTTGCGTACCCCATAGGCGTTGGGGCCAAGCCGGCGTAATCCATACAACATAATTGGGCCGAAGTAGTTCCGAGCGCATCCACCATGCAGAATCCGGGGAATGGCAGATAACAGACCCAGACCCCTTGACTTCGGCGACTCTTGAGAAGGGCCGCAAGTTCATACATATATAGCTCCAGACGAGCCAGCACTGTGGGGGAACCATCGCACCCACCAGACACGTCGTTTGTGTGGAACACGGTCCCGTCATCTTTAGTCCCTTTTCTCTTCGTTGTGTTCCTCTCACCACCATGAATGAATCAACCGTCCACGGCGAGGGCGATGAGTCCTTCTGGGCGCCCGGTACCATACGACTGGAGGATTGTATGACTTCCCAAGTCCTTGCCCATAAGACACGGCGCTGACCACTCGCCGTCTACAGTGACCCACTCCAGGACTGAGGTTATCTTGCATCCCATACCGACGACTGATCCCGATGATCCCCTGAACTGGAGCCAGATAAGGAAGATGATCAACTTTGGACTAGTCGGCTTTTTCGTACTATGGACCTTTGTACAGCTCCAAATTGGTTCTACGTCTTGGGGCCAACTCATCCCGCAGCTACATTTCTCCGTCGACCAGCTCAACAACGGAGTTGCTTTGAACTCAGCCGGTCTAGCCATTGGCTGTGTCCTTTTTATGCCGTTTGTGCACAAGTATGGACGACGCCCTCTGTATCTGATGAGTTCCGTACTCCAGCTAGCCGGTGTCATTTGGCAGGCTAAGATGCAAACCTATGGCGACTGGCTGGGATGCAACTTAGTCACAGGCTTGGGTGGTGCCATCAGCGAGGCCGTCGTTCAAGTCACCATCGCCGATCTCTTCTTTATCCACCAACACGGAACCATGAATGCCTGGTACCTGATCTTCACCTCCGTTGGCGCCACGCTTGGTCCCGTAGCTTCCGGCTTTGTGGTCCAATCGCAGGGATGGCGATGGATCTGGTGGTGGTGCACTATTTTCCTTGCTGTCAATTTCCTTCTCATCATCTTCATGTTTGAAGAGTCGAAATACGTTCCCGTTCTCTCTGGCCAGACCGTTCCCCTCGACCGGGACATCCCTAGCTCGGATGACGTTAAAACCGCGGATGCCGACTTGAAGCCGGCAAAGGTCGACGTCAAGCACACCGCCATGGAAAGGATACAATCTAGGATCGACCCAACTCTGCCACGCAAGACGTACCTTCAGCGTATGAGGCTAATAACCACCTCGGACTATTCTGTTCGCCACCACTTTTACCAACCTGTGGTTGTGCTATTCATGTTTCCTGCCGTCGCCTATGCAGCCCTTACTTATGGCACCGTCTTGGCATCTTTGGCGCTCATGGCTTCTACCCAAGCGACATATCTTATCCAACCACCTTACAACTTTGGGCCTTCTGGTGTCGGCCTCATGAATTTGGCTCCATTCACCGGCTCTTTTCTCGGCTTCTTCGCCGCTGGTTGGCTCAATGATAGGTCCATCATGTGGTTCGCACGACGAAACGGGGGTATCTATGAGCCTGAGATGCGTCTCTGGCTTGCTCTTGCATCCGCATTGATCCTTCCCGCCGGCGTTCTCCTGTTTGGCATCGCTTTGGCTCATGTAAGTTGATTGTTTTCGATGCTGATAAGAAGACACTGACATTTTCTGCAGGGTGTGCATTGGATTGCCATGGCCGTGGGCTTTGGCATGTTTGGCTTCACATTTGTGCTTGCTAGTGGCGTCGCGCTTGCGTATGTGACGGACTGCTATCAAGAGGTGAGAAGACGCCTTAAACTTCCCGGTTACATTGCAGACACTAACTTGACATCTTCAAGATTCTCGGAGACATTATGATTGGCGTTACCTTTGTCAGGAATGTCTTCTCCGTCATTATTCTTTTCACACTCACTCCATGGACTAAGGCTATGGGCATCCAGAACGTCTCAATCATCACGGCCGCCTTTGATCTTGTCGTCCTTTTGCTCCCCATTCCCCTGATCATATGGGGTAAGAAGTTTAGGATCTCAACTGCCAAGCGATACGAAGCAATGGCCCGTCGCCAACCCTCGTTCCGAACACTGGGAGAGCACTCGTAAAATCTAAAGGCCTTTTGCTTTATATGCCGTCATCCAAAGCTGTCGAATTAATATTAAATGTTGCAATCTTGCCCTTCACAATTTGGCTCAATGTGGCAGCCAGGAGACGGCGTCGCACCAGTGTACTTGTCCTCGAATGTCTTTGATTGCCCAAAATGCAGTCAATTGATCTCTTAGCCTGATTCTTGATCTTCTCGAAAATTCAATAAAAATATCAATCTGCTCAAGTGCCATTTGACGTTCCTTAAGGTCCGTGAGTTCAAAACAAGCGACCATGTATGCAATCTCCATGTGTGGAATGGATCGTTTGGTATGTCGAACCGCTGAACGCAATTCTTCAAGTATTGCTTGTGACAGTGCTGTGCCTGCTGCCAATTCTGTACCGAAAGGATAGCGCAGCCGGTGAATCATGAGGAGCACCGCCCAGCGGAAGATGTTAGCTTGAGCCAATAGGCTCACCATTTCTTGTTGCAAGAAACGACTGGCGCATCCCTCGGGTAGTGTAGGCATCCATTTATGGACGACCAACTCAATTGCATCAATGATTCCCGTGATTTCGGAATCGCTAAGTCGCTCGTCCTGGCGCAACAAATAGCTGACTTCGCAAATATCGTACATGCAGGGTAGCATTGGCGCAGCAATGCCCACGTAGCGATCTACAGAGCCGTCCGTAATTTCCATCTTGAACCGTAGTGTGGGCACCTCGCCCATTAGATAGCATTCCTCGGTCTCTGACAAGATCAGGCAGACGAAAAATGCCGAACACTCAGAATCAAGCACTGTAGTCGAGTCGTAGATGGGCTTGATGGTGAGGAGAGCATGTCTGCATATTGCCAAACCGCTTCCGGATATATGCAATGCGAAGGTGAGTGCGCTCACTGCTAGCAGTAAAATGACAGGCAAGTCTCCAGAGTCGAGAGGTCTGACGGAGCGCAGAGTGGATACCGCAGAAGCCGCCCGTCTGTGGCCGATAGCCCTGTCTTCGGGCGAGGGATCGGGATCATACTCGCAAGCCAAGAGAGCTGCAGTTGCTATCAAAGCGTCGTGGATCCATGGCGGTGCGTTATGAAGGTGCCGCGCAAAAGTCTTGTGATGGTTTACCCGAAAGCTCGGTGCTACCAAGAATTGCTCAATCTGCGGTCGTCCTTGTGATATGCACTTGATGATGAACAACTCCCTTTCGTTCATATCGGCAAACATGGAAAGAGTCCTGGGTGTAGACACTATATCCGATCTAGCTGGAGATGTTGGTAGGGAGACTATGTCCGATGCAGGGCTCGCTGGAGTGGTGCCTTGGTTGATGGATGACGCTGCCGCTGAGACAGTAGAAGAGCTCGCGCTACGGGCGCGACGCACTTGGAGTGTTGTCGCACTTCCCTCATGACGATGGTGACGAGGCTTGCGGCCAGCGGTTCCCACGGGTCTAAGGCTCTGGCATGTGTTCTGCAGTCGGTGGCAACGTTCGCAGGCACTCTGGCCAGAGACACGTCTACATTTCTCCTTGACGGCGTGGCACCTGTCGCACGCCCGTGTTGCTGGTGGTCTGCCCATGGAAGGCGCTCAAAAGTGCGTTGTCCGGGATCATTGTAGGGTGTGAGAGTGGATGCGACAGGGAGCCTGGTGCTATGTAGCAAGCTCGGGTGAAACACCGGCCGGATGACTAATCGTCCCGCAGTGCCCGAGCTTCTCAGCCCTCGGATCCGGGGAAAATAGCGCTACACATTTGGAACAGGCCGCGTTGTAACATATGCGCCACAATCAAGGTCTACGATTGTCACTCAATCCCTCAGTCTTCTCTACTGTACACAGTGTATGTTCGCACAACCTTTCGTGCGACCAATTTGTACACTCACTTCGTATTCTGATGGCTACACCAACATCCGGACCGAAGCCACACCCGCACCTAACGTGCGGGATCAGTAAGCTGGAAAGATCAGTAAGCTGAACGCCCCACCCAAACTGACGCGACTGTCTGCGCAATTGAGCCACAACAACGCAATAAAATAAGATAAAATTAAGAGATGTGATTTATAATCTAGTCTTGCACGTAGTACGAGTA